TAGAAGGATGTCTTGCTGCACCCTTGTGGGTGCTGGTCCTGGGGCAGTAGAATACTGCTCCTAGGGCCCATCCTATGACTGCCTGGCCCAACCTCCCCCTTCTAATTTCAGATCTCATCACAATGGAGGCTGAGTCTGCAGAAGTGGCATCAGTTTCTAACTCAGCCACCAATTTGCCAGCCACCCACCGCTCTCCTCTGACGGTCCTGTGAGGGTGCCAGCCCTGCCTGGAGATCTGGGTCCACTACAACTTCCAGGCCTACTTCGCTCAAGAAGTGGAGACCGGGCAAGAAAGGAAATGGCCCGGGACAAATGTGGCATTTGGGAAGGTGGCTTGGAAAGGCCTCTTGGACAGGGTATGGGTGCAGGAAACGGTAGAGAACGACTGTCTAGACCTGGCTTCCCTGGGCTTGAAGGGAACAAGACCTGATGATGGAGAGGGGCCAGGAGACGCCCTCACCTCCTGGAGCTGCCTGTTTACATTTCGTCTGCTCACACGGCCTTTTCCAGACTGCTGGCCCAGCTCCCTCACATACTGTTGTTGTCAACACCTTCTCTGTTGCCTGGTGCCCCAATGCAGGGACACTGCTGTCCCCGATGGCTCTGCCACAGCCCTGGGAAAAGGGACTAGGAACAGCAAGGACCCCGAAGAAACCAGGGTGCCTAGAAATCTCACTACCCTTTAGTTGCCAGGCCTCTCCCCTCCTAGGGAACGCCTCTCCTTGTCTTTGCTTCTCTCGCATGACTTTTAGCTCTCCTTCCCCTCCCCTGCCATTCTCTTCCTGTGTCTTCTTCAAAAGCCTGGGGAGCAAAGGCTCCGAGAGGTGGAGGCCGCGCTCCAATACACAGGGAAAGTCACAGTCCTCTAACTCGTGTCTCCCAGCACCCTAGACCACCTTTCCCGTGGGACTGTCAGCAGGTAGGCAGCACAGTCATTTCAAACAAATGGGCAGAGGCTGGCTGAGCCCTTTCTCCACCAAAGGCCACCCTCCTGTGTTGCCCATGCAATGCAGCTTTCTTGTCCATTCTGGGACCTGCTTAGTCAGGGATTGTCAGGAGAGACTGAGCAAAGGATTGGGCTGGGAGCAGGGCACTGTCTTCCCGTGTGTCACCCAGGGATGCAGGAGCAGCTATTTCCAGGGAGAAGGAAAGAGAGAGGCCCAGAGACAGGCTAAGGAGTGACAGAGACAAAGAGAAAAACACAGAGAAACATGAGCTGGAGGAGACAGACAGAGACACAGAAAATCACCGAGAGGCCCAAATTGACACCACATGGCCGCTATGCTGGACCCCAGGGCCCAGCAAACAAAGTTTCGTGCTGAGTCAGTTGCCATGGTGACAAACATGCAGGAAATATCCAAGATAACTAGAATAGTGGCAATAACATGTGTTTTGGATAAAACCTCCTCCCCTCCCCACCCCCTCTAATGTATGCATTGCATTACTTAGGATAAACTAGGCTTTTGCACAATCACCTTCCCCGAGAGGCCTGAGGTGGGGGTTCTAAGGTCATGGGGGGAAAGGAACAGCTTCCCTAGGGAACTGTCTGGGCCTAGGCAGATTTCTGCTCAGGAGAAAAGGGTACATTTTGTGCCTCTCTCCTCACTTCTGCCTTCCTGAGCCTAGATTTGGGCTCCCATATCCTTCTGCTCCACAACACAAAGGCCCAGAAGGGTCTGAATTCCTGTTTGAGGTCACAGAGAAAGTCTGAGGGTCTGAGGACAGGGGGAAGGTACTGGGGTTCTTTATGAGCCCCAAAAGCACCCCAACAGAGTTCAGGTTCCATGGTGAAGCCAAAGCTAAACTGGGAGCACATTGCAGCGTTAAGAGCCACACACCCTGAGATTGCTGGTACCTTCACCCGGCGACCCCTGCCCTCACTCCCAAAGCAAGGGCAAGACTATCTGAGGGAAGAAGGGGAGAAACACAGGAGGAGCAGGGGTTCTGTGGGGCAGGTGGCCCTGAGAGAGAAGACAAGCTATGACCTGGCAGAAACACAGCAAGGAGGTCTGGGGAGTGGAAGGAGGGGGGTGTGTGTGTGTGTGTGTGTGTGTGTGTGTGTGTGTGTGTGTGTGTATGTGTTGGGGGGGGGTCACAGAAGAGAGATCAGCCCCTTCGGCTCCCAAGGATCTGGGAGGGCTGAAGTCACCACAAAAGGCGCAGTTGGAAGCCAGTCAAGTTTGTCCCCTCCTGCCCACCAGCGATTGGAGAGCTCTGGTTCCCTGCATGTCTCTGAGTCGCTGGCAGAAAGGATTCCATGGAAAGAACCCAAGATTACAAGTCAGGTCCACCGCCTACGGCTTGTACAGTCTTGGGCAGGCCCCACAACTCCCTAGGCCTCAGTTCTCGCCTCCGTTGGGTGGAGCTAACAATAACTTATCTCTGTTAGTAGGTATAAAAGTCACAGGACACGTGGGAGCACTTGGCACATCGGCAGGCTCTGTGTCCAAATTGTGGATTGCTGTCGTGACTCAGGCAGAGAGGAGTGGACGGGCCAAGGGCGCAGGGAGAGGTTGCAGGCAAAGGTTCGTGTGAGGAGACTCTGGTTTCTGTAATGACATTATACCCAGATTTTCCGATCTAAACAATCAGCTTCAGTTGTGATTTCCCATCTTGGAGAGTTTCTGGGAAGTGATGCGTGATAGAAATGGGTTTGGGAACAGTCCACCTGGACACAGTGGACCTTCTGGGTTTGGAGCAAAGTGCCAGAACCAAGTTGTGGCCTGAGGGAACCAAGGGGCCAGTCCTATCTGCTGACTGTCCCTCGTGGGATTATGTCAGCCCTGCCTATGTCGAGAGCACTGAGCCAGGCTTGGAAGCAGCCCTTAAATGACTCTCTGGGCCCAAATGAGGTGGGTGGCACCAGCTCCCTTGGGAACCTAGAGCTCTCTCTCAAACCGAGACCAGATTTGCTTCCTCTTTGCTGTTGGGAAGAGTGAAATCCATCCCACTTACATCCCAAGTTCAAAGCCCTTCTTTAGTACCATGCTGCAAACGATGTGGATGGAGGCAAGACAGAGACAGGTGGTGGGAAATGAGAGAAATTGGCCCTTGGAGCCTAACTCATTCAGTAGTAGCCAAGCCTGAGGAGGGATTGGCTTAAGGGGGCTGGCATCCCGTTGCCCAGATCCGGGACTGGGGCCAGACCACTGGAGGATCAGGGGCCTGGCAGCACCTTGAAGGTGGTATACCAGCTGAGCGAACAAAGAGAAAGGCAGACCAGGCCTGGGTCCGGGCACCCCACACATCCCCGGTTCCCCAGGAGGCCAGAGAAGATCTGCGGGGCAGAACACTGCCTCCCCAGCTGGCTGCCTTTTCTGTGTCTGGTTTCACTCTCTCCCTTGCTTTTTCCACACTGATTCTCTTTGGCCCTGGGGTGATGTTTCCAGCTCTTCATCTGTTTGTAGGTGGCACCAGCAGAACAAGCAGCCTCAGTGGCAGAAGGCTGACTCTGTGTGTGTGTGTGGGTGTTGGGGGCAGGGGTGGGTAGTGGGGTGATGGCCTAAGGAGGAGGAGGAGTTAATAGCCCCGAGCCAAGCAGTCCTGGCTGCTTCTCCAGACCCTGTCAGGAACACCCAAGGGCTCATGGGGAGCCAGAGAAGGCTGGAGCCTGGAGGGGGCCAAGTGCCACCTATCCTCTTTCTTCATAATTCCTCGGGGTTTTGAAAGGAACAGGGGTAAGCTATATAGATCATGGAAGAGCCATAACCTGAAAAAGAAAAAAAACAGTCTCCCTTCCCTTTCCGATAGGCCCAGCTGGGATTCTAGCCCATGCCCCTGGGGATGCGGGCAGAATACCGGGGCACAAAGCCTGCCTGGCAGATTGGGGGTATGCAGTTCCATGGCCCCAAGGTGGGGCTAAGTACAGGCAGCCTCTTTTCTCTGTTTGCCAAGGAGCTTTCTCCCAGGGGATTAACAGGGCCTTCCTGCCACCCTTTCTGGCTGCTGCAGGAGCCAGAATACCACCCCTGGCTGCCAGCCAGCCTGTGTCTGGGAGACTTACAGATGCACTGCTGGGGCATGAGGGCAGGGAAGGAAGATAGAGGCCTCTGGGGGAGTCCCTGGGGCCACGAGCTGGGAAGTACTGGCCCCGAATTTCTGCCAGCTCCTGCTTCTGGGGAGATATGCCTTCCTGGCCTGTGTCTGAGGGTAGACAGGGAGTCAGGAGGGTGTCTTGTTGGCTTGTCTCCTCTCTCACACTCTCTCTCTCTTCCTAGGGAATACGTAACCAACATATCACCTGGAAAACAGGATGGGTCCTGAAGGCAGTAGACTTCATGTTTGCACAGATGTGCTGTGTTTTGGAGGCCAAGACTAAGCTAAGGGCTGGGGATGCTCTTGAGCAGGGATGGGAGTGGGACTGAAATGAAAGGAGCAGGGTCTGTGCCGATAGGTCCAATGGGATGGGAAGGAACTGGTATATGTCTCCAAGTCTTCTTGAAAAAAATAACTGTACAGCTGCAAGGGAACTCTCAAGTCACCTCATTCTAGAGAGGAAGAACCAGGTGAGGCCCAGTGAGGTTAAGTGACTTGCCAAAGGCCATGCCATCAAAGGTCCGTGGAGCCCAGATTTAAATCCCATTGTTCTGTCGTTAGACCACTGTTCCTTCTTTTTTTCCTCCACATTCTCTCAGGGCCCAGTTGCCAGGGGACCCCAGCATGAAGGGACGATGACCAGCTGCCCTGATGGGGAACAAACAATTCTACCCCACTTAGGAGGGGGGGGTCAGGAATAGTCAGCCGGTGAGGAAGGCCACTCAAAGCCTGTGTTCCTGAGGGGGGCTCTCTAGAACCAGCAGTACCCATAGAATGAGGCCATTCAAAGGGGCTCCCAAGACCAACGCTAATTCAATGTGACCTGCACTTGTCTCTCCCCTTGTCCCCCACTGTACTCTGCTAAATAAACAAACACAGTACTCAGGCAGCTCTCTGCTGGCAAACACCCCCGACTTAGCAACCGCTCCTAGAATAAATAAACACTCGCACACTGCACGCTTACACACACTCACTCCCATACACTCACTGTTGCTCCCAGCCCTCCACGGAGCCCCCACCAGGCCCCAGCCTCAAACACACAGGCTGCTATCAACGGCGTAACTGACACTGCCCCCTACTGCCAGGGTGCCGGGACCAGCTGGGACCTCAGAAATAGGAAGACCCAGACCCCAGGCTCGAGGCTTGCTCCTGCAGTCCACAAGCTGCACAGGCAGGTCGGGCTCTTCTACGTATCATGAGGTAAGCTCTGAGGGACCATTGGAACACTCGGGAAGTAAGGGACCTTTAGGATGACCCAGTAAACAGAAACAAACAGAAACAAACAGAAACCCTGGGTGGGAGCGGGGGTGACTTGCCCGAGATCTTGAGAGGCAGAACCAGAACTCCTGACAGTAGTTCCTCCCGCTTCCCCACCAAACGCCCTTCTCCTGCCAATCTTTGGACTATGTTCACTAGTTCTGGTCCTTCGTGGTTGGGTGAGTTTAAAAGGAAAAAACACCATCCAGACGGCAGAATCTCAAGAAACAACAATTAGATATTCAAGCCTCCTGCCTACTTTTGGAACGATGTTCTCCACAGGGCCTGAGTGACATGGAGGAAGAGGCCTCTCACATGCTGTCACATGGCCTTGTCCTCCCCAGGAGCCACCTTATCTTCTCCTTGGGAAAGGTGGCTTCCTGTGACACTCAGCTCACAATTAAGCGCCAGGGACCTCTTCATCAGTAAGTCAGATGAGAATTCAGTTACCTACAGCCTGTGTTCTAATCGGGGAATAAAAAAGGCAAAATCATCTTAGTCCAAAGGGACTGAGGTTAACACCAGGAAACTGTGGTTAATACGTCAGAAAATCAAGAAGACCCAGGAGGGGGGGTGGTGGTGACGGTGGTGTTTGAGCCTGTGTGGAAGCACAGAGCGGGTGGGAGACACCTGGAGACACCCACACAGGCTGAGACGAGGCCTGGCATCGGGCACCGCGGCACAGCAGAAGCACGTAAGCGTTAGTTAGCATCAGGCATATCTGATTTCTGGTTTGGGCTTTTCTGCTATTAGCTGTGGACACTGGGCAATTTACCTAACTTTTTGTGTCTCTAAAATAGGGATAATTCCCATCTTTTGTAGTTGCTGTAAAGCTGAAGCAAATGCTATATATTAAGTCTCTAGCACCCCTACTGTTGTCTTCAACAGTGATAGATGAATGTGGCATGATTTTAAGTCCAAGCTCTACTCCCCTTTGTTGTATGAAAATAGAAAAACCATATTGACCAAGCTGAAACAAGATGATAATGTGTAAAAATGCACTGTAATAAAAATGACCTAAGAATGGAGGCACTATCATTGAAAATAGCTTCACTGTTCCGGGCAATCTGGCCTTAGTACATTCCCAAGTCTTTTTTTTGTTTTTTTAAGATTTTATTGGGGAATCAGGGAAGGGGAACAGACAAGTTGCTGTCCTTTTGTTCTTCAGTCTAGTTATGGAGGACGTTTCTTCACTGGCCCATGTTGGTATTATCATTGCGCTCTTACCGGGTGAGGCAGTTGCTCGCCGCCCATTGGACAGCTGCTCACAGCAGCTCATGCCAGTTGCCGGCCACACATGGTAGCTTACAGCAGCCCACTGCAGCAGGGGCTGCAGCCTATGCTGTCGCCGGCGACTCAAGGCAGCCCAGCTCCAGGTCGAGCTGTTGTTCACCATCTTAGCTGTAGAGGACGCAGCATCACTGGCCCTCGTGTGGGATCCGAACCGGGGCCCTGCTGCTCAGAGCTGGTGTCCCAAGCCAAATCTTAACCAATGCGCCACTCGGCTGGCCCTATTCCAAAGTCTTATTCATCAAGGACTGCAGATTGTTCACATAAACATTATATCAGGTACAAATGTTTATTAACATAGAAATAATAGCTGAATACAAAATATCAGTCCTGTTGGTCAAGAGCATGTTACTGGAACTTGCACTGTGACTTGGACGTAATGAGAAAACAGTGCCCAAGAAGAGCAGAAAGTAGGTCTGTGGCTCCAGGGTTCAGGTGTGAGCTCTCCAGCTGGAGGTGTGGGGATGAGGACCACCAGGTATAACTCACCTCTCCTCCCAGTCTCAGCATATTCCTGACTGGCACTCACAGGCCTTCCTAAGAGTTCCCTCGCTTCTCTGTCTTCTGCTGTCTCATCTCTGAGCTGCTGTCAGTGTGAGCATGCAATAAGATCTCAACTCAGGACAAGGAGACTCAGAGGAAGGCAAGGAGGGCATTAGGTGGGGGCTTGGCATGTTAACAATGCTGGGTCTACTCAGAAGGTGGTTACATCGGAGCTGAGGGTGTGTGGACTTGGGGTACACACCAGGACACCCTAAGGAAGGCCCAAGACAGACCTATTGACTAGACAAATCTGAGAAACCAAGCCCTGTTGAGTGCTGCTGGCTGTAAGTCTGCACGGTCAGGGAGTAGAACTCAGCCAGGAGACCAGGAAAGCAAGCATCAGATCTGGAAGAGTCTGGGCAGGGCTGTGGGATTTTGATGTGGAAGAAAAGACTGGCTGAAACAGGAATGCCAAAATCTTGTTAACCAAATGTAGACCCAAAGGCTTGAGTTACTGGATAGAGGCCCAAGTGAGCAATGGGTAGACTAGTGTATGACAGACGGTGTGGAAGGCAGCCCCTGAGGAGTAATCCAGCATCAATACACTGAATGTTTACCAGCGTGAACAGCTGCGAAGAACAGCACACACTTAATTAAGATCACATCTCCTCAGTGCCACTTGTGCTTGAGAGAGTCACTTAACCTTTCTAAATCTCAGTTTTCTCATCTTTAAAATAGGGATGGCACCCACCTCACTGGGTAATTGTAATTATGTGAGCTCAATGGCATAACAGAGGCTAAACTGCTGAATGCCTTGCCTGGCCTTATGGCTCAATACAAGCTAAGCAGGGTCACTAATCAAATATTTATCGAGTGTCTATTATATGCTAGGCCTTGTAACTTGTATAGGAGATACAAAGATGAAAAGATGTGGCACTGCTCTGAAGAATTTCAAACTTAAAGAGGTGGGCAGAGGCTTCTACTTCAAGTCAGCAGTTGTGTACATAAGATCACTCACTATTCCTGGAGTGCAGTGGAGGGAGGTGGGGGGAGAGAGCACTCAGAATCACCTGGAGAAATCAGGGAAGGCTTCCAGGAGGAGGCGATGCATGAGTTCCACCTAGAAAGATGAAGAGGTGTTTTTCTGACAGACAAGCCAAGAAATGGCAGCATAGGCAGAGGAAGGAACAAGTGCAAAGAAGCAGAGCCATGAGAAAACCTATTGTGTTCTGGGAGTTAGAACAGTGCATTTCAGTATTGCTGTAGCATAAAGAGGAGGGGTGGGAAGGAGAAATGAGGCTGGACTGACAGACAGGAACCAGATCATACAGGATTGCTCATGCTCTGCTGAAGAATTTCGATTTTATCCTGAGAGTGATGAGAAGCCACTGAAGAATTTTAATTAGGGGAGTGATGGATGAGATTTGTTTTATAAAAATATTATCTTGCTGCTCTGTATAGTACAGATTGAGCATGGTCAAGACTAGCTTAAGGGAAACCAGTTAGGAGACTGTAGCAATAGCCATCAAGAAGTGAGAGCCTGGACTAAGGTGGTGGCAGTGGGGCTACGGAAGAGGGATAGATGCTTAAGAAGTCAGGTGGGCAGGACTTGGTGACTGATTGGATGTTAGGTATGAGGCAGAGGCCTTGGGGAAATGTTGATACCCTTCTCCAAGATGATGGTTTTCAGAAAGGTAAGAAGATTCAAAGGTAGAGAGATCCCTGCTAACGAGTCCTGCTTTATCTCAGAGAACTCAAGGTGGAGTGCAGAAGACAGACCTTGGCTGGAAGCGCAGATTTGGGTCATGGGCATAAGGGTGTAGCTGAGCCAGGAGCAGGGAGTGTGTAGATTGAGAAGAGAAGGCACAGATAGCCATGGATAGCTGTGGGAAGTCCCAGCCAACATGTACAGATCTAGTGGGGGGGGGCAGGGCACAAAGGAGACTAGGTAGAATCCTCCAACATAGTAGAAAGAGATTCAGGAAGGAGCAGTCACACAAACCAAAGAAGCAATGCAGGCCAAGATTGAGAGAAAGGACAATGGCATCAAATACTGCTGACAAGTCAAGTAAGAAAAAGACTGAAAAGCGCCTACCGGTGGTGACTTCAAAAAGTGGCATCTCAGTGTTGATGGCGGGTGCCAGACAATAGATTGAGACGTGAGCATGAGAAGGAAGAGAGTAAAAACAGGTAACTTTTTATGAGGAGCTTGACCTAAAGGAAGATGTCTCGGGTAATAGCTAGAGAGGTACTTCAGGGGAAAGGAAGGTTTAATTTTCTTTTTTTAAGGTGGGAAAGACTTGAATAAGTCTATGTGCTAAAATTCAAGAGAAAAGAGGGGATAGTGCATCAGGTCCCAAAAGACACAGGAAAAAATGGGATCCCAGTCACACATTGCCTCTGCCTGGAACACTCTTTCTTATCCCAGGTCAGGTTCCCGAGGAACCGGATGTTGAGATTTTCATGTAGCAGAATTACCAGGAGTAATCTTGGGGACAACACCTGCTGTGTGAAGGAGCAAAAGAAGCAGACCTGGCAGAGAGAGAAGTGGAAGGATGAGGCAGTTGGAAGAGCTGCGAGCTCGGGAGCTGGGCTGGCCCTTCAGAAATGGCCTGAATTGAGGAGGAGGGTTGCTGAGGCAGATAGGTTTCTTCTTTCCTGATGGGACCCTCTTTTCTCTGCAAAACAGAAAATGGTGGAGAAAGAGGGCCTGGGGTCTTGAGAAGAGGGGCGAAGGTCTGAAATGGTCTTGGGGACTCGCTTAATGGGATTGCTCTATACTTGGGAATGCAACACAGGTCAGATGCCACACATCTGTGGGGACATCATCTTCCGGTCAGGGTGATATTCCTTAGCAGGGCTCGGCATCCCGGAAGTAGAAGAGAAGGGGAGCTGCAGGTTATGCTCCTGGGTTCGGGCAAGCTCTGGGCCTGCTGAGCCTCCTGTCCCAAGTGAGGCCTGGGAAGGAGCCTGCAGGCCACGCCTCTGCCTGAAGCTCCCTTCCATCTCTCAGGAGAACTGTTTATTTTGTCTTGGCCAACTCACCATTCCAAAAGTGAAAAACAAGCAGAGTATATATATCAAACCATTCCCAGAATCAAACTTTAGAATAATTTAGAGATCAGTGAGTCAGATACATGTGGATTACATTTTCCTCTAATTATATACTT